TAGTACAGCTTCCCTTCTTTCTTCAAGTAAATCTAGTTTTATTCGCATTTCTTCTTCATTAGACTCCTCAGTTGCTTGTGTATATCTCGTGCTTGGCTCCCCTATCTCGACTGGGATCAAGGCTTCAGCTCCATATACAAGTGAGAACGGTGTTTCACCCATACTTGTTTTCGTTGTTGTGCGGTAAACCCACAAAACACCAGGTAACACCTCTGGCCAATTGCCTTTGGATTCCTTCAATCTTTTCTTCAAATTGTTGATAATGACTTCATTCGTCGATTCAGCTTGTCCATTACCCACCGGATGGTAAGGCGTTGAAGTAATCCTTTTAATTTGCCAACTTTGAAAAAATTCTGTGATTTGTGCGCCTATAAATTGCGGGCCGTTATCACATACGATTTCCTTTGGTACGCCGAATCGGCATATGATATTTCGCCAAATGAAATCTCTGACCTCTTTTTCTCGTACATGTTTAAAAGCACATACTTCTACCCACTTAGTAAAGTAATCAGTGAGTACTAGCAAAAATCTTACCTTGCCTTTTGCTTGTGGTAGTGGACCCACGATATCCATCCCCCACTTCATAAAAGGCCACGGTTAGAAACAAGAAATCCCAAAAACTTCCCTGACGAAACGCCAAATGCACATTTCTCGGGATTTAGCTTCATGTTAAATTTACGGAGAATCTGAAATGTATCAGACATGTGCTGAATATGATCCCCTGCTTGTTGAGATTTGACCAGCATATCATCTATGTAGACTTCCATGGTTTTCCTTAAATGTTCTTGGAACATTTTGGTCACCAACCTTTGATATGTGGCCCCAGCGTTTTTGAGGCCAAATGGCATTACTTTGTCACAGTAAGTCCCCCTGTCTGTTATAAATGAAGTTTTTTCCTCATCTAGGGGATCCATTTTGATTTGATTATACCCTGAATATGCATCTAAAAAGCTTAACAATTCATGTCTTGCAGTAGCATCAATTAGTTGATCTATATGCGGTAATGGAAAAGAATCTTTAGGACAAGCTTTGTTTAGGTCAATGTGATCTATACAGACTCGCCATTTACCATTCTTTTTTGGTACTACTACAGTATTAGCTAACCAATTTGGATACTTTACCTCGCGGATAGACCCAATTTTTAAAAAATTTTGCACCTCATCTTGAATCACCTGATTTTTGAAAGATCCCTGCTTTCTTTTCTTTTGTTTGACCGGTGGATATGATGGATCTTCATTTAACTTGTGAGTCATTACTTCCGGAGGTATTCCTGTCATATCAGAATGGGACCAGGCAAAACAATCCATGCTAGTTTTCAAAAATTCAGTCAACTTATCTTTCATTTCGTGGCTTAAGTTAGCCCCAATGTAGACTTTCCTTTCAAGCCATTGTATGAATGGTTCTACAGCCTCCAACTCTTCAATCGTTGTTTTGATGATTTCATTTTCTTCCGGTTCTTGGATGGAATCGGGCATCGAGTCTACATCTGTCCGCCCGTGTTCAGCTGAGGCTTGTGTTGCAGCATCCTCAACTAAATTCTGTAATTGCTATTTTTCTTCGTTTTTTGCGCTTGAATCTGCTATGGAGTTGATGCTCCTAGATGTCTGTTGATCACCACGGATTTGACGTATTCCCCATTGTGAAGGGAATTTAATAACTTGATGTAGAGTAGATGGCACAGCATCCATTTCGTGAATCCATGGTCTACCGAGAATCATATTATAAGCCATGTCCATCTCTACCACCTGAAATTTCGTATCTTTAACAACTCCCTCTGCGAATGTTACGAGTATTACCTCCCCTTTTGTTACGACGCTTAAATTGTCAAAGCCGGATAAAGTATGCGCCTTAGGTACCAGCTTATCTTCAGCTTGCATTTCGTTTAATACTCTTAGCAAAATGATGTTCACAGAGCTACCTGGATCAATCAAAACTCGTTTCACATTAGTATCATGTACAAGTAGAGATATTACCAGTGCATCGTTGTGTGGAGTTAGTACGCCATCTGCATCTGCATCATCAAATGTAATACTTTCTTCTTCTAAAACATGTCGAACCCCCTTCCCGTGTGTGACTGTAACCTTTGAAGCTTTCTTGGCTGTCGTATATGTTACGCCATTGATTTCTTCTCTCCCGCTTATAACGTTAATGGTCCTTTTAGGAGAAGGAGGTTTAGGGGGCTCCTGCCTGTTCTTCATGTATGTTTGTTTACCTTTTTCACTAAACAATTCGGTAAGATATCCTTGCTTTAATAAATGGTCAACTTCACCTCGCAGCAATCTACAATCTGCCATTTTGTGACCATGATCATTATGAAACTCGCACCAGAAATCAGGATTTCGCCTATTCGGATTTGATCTCATTTCCTTTGGCCACCGCACCTTATCACCTATGCTTCTTAATACTGCTACTAATTCTGATGTGCTAACATTGAAATTGTAACCGCCGAATTTTGCCTTCGAGCTTCTACCATCATCTCTCGTCTCTCGTGTGTTTCGCTCTTTCCCAAACCTTGACGATGAGCCCGACTCTCTATCTCTCGATTTGTGATTGTACCTTGTATTGTCCTGCTTTGAACGTGAGTCTCTTCCTACTGGTCCCATGTAAGGCTCGTATCTATTTTTTCCGGACCTTTTTTCAGTTTCACCACGTCTCGAACTTACCCTCTCTTCTTTTTGAGACCGAGAGATGGTATCTTCTTCTGTCCTCAACTTCGTGTTGTATCTATTGTAAACATCATTCCAAGTTGTTGCTGGAAATTCACGTAGACTTTCCTTGAGTCGTCTCGTGGCTTTTGAACTTTCCTCGTTTAAATTACTAGCAAAAGCCATAACTGCCCAGTTATCAGGTACGCGCGATAACATCATCCTTTCACGCTGGAATCTGTCTACGAATTCTCTAAGCAGCTCTGAATTCTCTAAGCAGCTCCGAATCTCCTTGCTTTATTTTGAAAATATCCTCCATTCTTTTTTCGACTTTTTGAGCTCCCGAATGGGCTTTGATAAATGAATCTACAAGCTCAGCAAAAGAATTTATAGAATTTTCGGGTAAAAGAGAATACCATGTTAATGCTCCCTTGGTAAGTGTTTCACCGAATTTTTTGACCAATACTGATTCAATTTCTTGTTTGGTCAAGTCGTTGCCCTTCACACCAGTTGTGAATGCAGTCATGTGGTTTCGTGGATCAGTTGTGCCATCGTATTTTGGAATTATCGGGCATCTTGAATTTCTTCGGAATTGGCAGAGGAGCAGCACTGGGCTTCCAAAGTTGTTGTGAATATTTATCCATATCTATTCCCTTGATTACAGGCGGTACTCCAGGTATTTGCTCTATGCGATCGCTTTGCTCCTTGAGCTGTTTCTGCAAAGTTAATACTAAATTTTGTAAATCAGAATTGACTATGTTACCTGGTTCTCCATCACGAGACTCGCTGGGAGTTCCAACACTGCCTGAATTAACGAGTCCAGAACGTGAGTTTTCCAAAGTGTTATTATTCGGAGTTGGTGTTGGCGGTGCAACCGGCAACTGACTGGTAAAAGCCTGGAGAGCGTTATTGACTTGTTGAGCAATTAATTTCTTAAGAGCGTCATCGAGTGCTTGTTCATTCATAACTCCGTCATTTTGATTTGCTTCAGATTCGTCTGGAGTCCCCTCTCATGACTATCGCTGAGAATGTTGTGGCGAAGGAGGTTGGGTTCTGTCATCTGCATCGTTCACTTGATGTTGTGGATCTTGAGGTGGTAAATTGTGTTGATTATTGTCGTTGACATTCGACATGATCGTTTTTGATAAAAGAATCGATTTGGAAAGCAGACGATTATGAGATTCCCGGTAACGGAACCAATTTGTTTAGCCAAAAATAGGGATTTCGGTCAAAGCCTATTTTTAGAAGAACTCGGGTTACTGATAATCAAATAGAAATAGGAATAATTGATATAAATAACGACCGAATAGAAAGTAAAGTAAATTAGTATATTCCAATAGTATTTCGTGTCCTTACAAATGTTCAGTCCTCACCTTTTATAGTTATATCTAAGTAATATGTTTTTCTCCTTTCATAATGGAGTCATTATGGACAATTAATGACATTTAATGTAACGTTATAATTGTAATCATAACTGATTCAATACAGATTCCATAACTTTTTCCGTAATTAATGCCTATTAATTACCAATAATACGTATCTATACCCCTTTTGCTATTTAGGTTCATTCTTCTGATGTGACCCCTGAATATCAAGAGGTTCGAGCACCTATCCTTTCTGATTTCCTTGGATCTCTGCCCGTGCCTGCTGAAGCTCATGCCTCTTCAACTATTTTTTGCCAACTGTCATTCTTTTACCAGTCCATGTGTCATGATATGTCACCTCATAATTAATTCGATACATGAACTTAATTTTTCCCAATACAATACCATCATTACCCAGATCAATCAAAGTAACAGGGCATCAAGTCACCTTAGGCCTCAACTAGTTTCCATCCCATCTTGACATCTTGTTACCAAGCACATTATATGAGTAGAGAACCATTAAGAAAGCAAGAGAAATGAAATATGAATGCAATTCACATGACCGACACATAAACATGTATCCTTAGAAAAGAAATCCTCCACCATTGACCTCCATGGGAAAATTAAATAAAAAGATGTAATAATCATACTGTAGACGTGGTTAGACCACATCCTCACCTAAATCACTTGAAATTTTCCAGCAACACTGCCAGCAACCATTTTGAAATTTTCATCCATGAGAATCCAGGGCAACTGACATGAAGTCTATAGCTGACTCCAGAAATTTTCCATAACACTCAGCAGTAATAAACTAATCTTTCAAATTAATGGCAAACCATCAATTAATTAGCTTTGAAAAATTAGTTTTGGTCCAAAAGATCAAATCATAATTTGTATAACAGATTCTGGTCCTCAAAGCTCTGACAAGACAAGGTGGTTTAACTAACATCTCCTTGGAATGAGCCATGTTTGAGGTGGAAACTAGTCATACCTGTCCAGCTTCAATAAGAGCCAGCATAGCCCATGCTGTATTAACAATGTGAGATCTGTTGCCCTCAAGATTTGTATACACCTATAAAAGTAAGAAAGTGAAAATAAAAGACACAAATTTTGAAAATTAGTTTCTAGAACTGAGAGGCAAATAATTCCAGTAATTGCAAATAAGTTAGAGTTATGGCCAGCACTTGAGTGGAAATACAGCAGCTAATAGCTGCGGACATAGTTATCGAATTGACTGTAACATTTTTCTATTGAACTGCATTACCAAACTAGTTAATTATACTTGTAACTCAGTGGTTCATTAATGATTTCAATGATACCTCTAACAGACAAGTTCTAAATCAAAGAGTTTTTTTTTCCTATTCATATATGGTTGATATTAAGGACTTCATCTCTCATTTTATCCAGCTGAAGAAAGTGAAGAAAGTCAAGGACATGGCCCTTGACAGGGAATTGTGGAGGTCGAGCATTAAGGTTGTAGGTTAGGGGGAAGTTGTGAATATTTGTACAGCGCACTAGAGTGAGACTAACCAGTTAGGAGTTAGTCTTAGGATACTACTGGTCATCTATTGATGCAGGGCTTTATCTGCTTGTTATTATTATACGATCCATCTATTTCGTATTTCTTATATTGTTATTATTTTATTATGAGTCTATTGATGGTACTAATATATCGTCTCTTATTGCTTTCTTGAGCCGAGGGTCTCCTGGAAACAGCCTCTCTGTCCCTCGGGGTAGGGGTAAGGTCTGCGTACATATTACCCTCCCCAGACCCCACTTGTGGGATTATACTGGGTCGTTGTTGTTGTTGTGAAGAAAGTGAGGTACTAAAAACCTAGAAGCAAGTTTGAAGAACTTAATCATTCTAGCATGGTTACTAAAGATTCATAGCTTTATTAGTAGAGAACATCTCTATACATGTTTTGATGTTAAACATTTACATGAGATTAGTGCTTTATACCATGCATAGCAAGATTACAAGGTACACAGAGAACCATGATAGCTCTTACATGAACTGACAAGGTATGAAATGGCATTTACCTTATTCTGACAAGACAGATAACTCTCTCCCCAGCCACCAGACAATACTTGTTTGGACAACAGAAAATCACAGGCCTTGCGGATGCTAGAAGAATTGTTGAAGCTCCTCCAAGCAGCCAGCAGGCCCTTCACCCCAAACCATGTGCCGTACGTAAAGCAAACTCCCCAAGATCCGTACCTAACCAGAAACCTCAGAGATTAAGTGAATTCTAATGGTTTTACTAGCCAAAGAGGGGAAAAAGAACAGTAAACAAGAAACAGGCTATAACTGGAAACAAGAACTAACCAGGAGCCATCTGCTGCTTGAATCTTTTCAATGTATGAGGCACCTTTTCTTATACAATGGTCCACTTCTTCTTTCCGATACCCGGGGTATAATTTCTTAAATGCTGCTAAAGCTTGAATTACAGCTGAGGTACACTCTACATAACTGCAAATAATTTTGGCTAATCTTAAGTTCCAAACCTTTTTGCACACACCTCAAGTAGTCTGATAGATGAAACAAGGTACAGGTGCAGATGCCTTACGGATAATCAATAACAATATCACCGAAAGTCTCAGCAGGGTTGACTATCTGAAGGAGGAAAACATGATTCCACATTAACAATGGACTTGCATAATAGAAGTCTAAGAAGCAGAAGAATGACAAAACATGTAAGTAGTGTCTTATCTATATTATCAGTAATGAGAAAGATAGCAGTTCCTTTGCCGAGAACTCATGTTTTCTCTTGCATTTAATTAACTTTATTCTATTTTATATTTTCCATGAGAATCCTTTCAATTGTATAGTTTATTAGTCAATACATCTATATCTTAAATTTTTAGCAATTGCGTTTGCAGTCTCTCAATTGCATGTGTTATAGGGAGTTAGATGTTTTACTCATGACTCATGAGTAGCTATGCGAATATAAGCTAGGAGCAAGGATTCCATTGAATTCAAACCATAAAGCATGAAAGTCTTTTTCCTCCCATTAGAATAAAAGAATAAATGAAGGAATCCAATTGCCTCTTCTCTGAAAAGCCCAAACAGAATTACACGGACCCAAGAAAAAGGCATGAACTCAATCTTCGGCCCTTACCCTGAGTTTATCAAATAAAGGAGATAAATATCTCCCTAAGGAGACCCTCCAAACAATCTCGGGAGAAATCTATGAAATAAGTGAGAAATATTCTAGGAATTAACAAAGAGAAAAAAAAAAGGAAAGAAAAGAAATGCCGAAAATGGGTGAAACAGAAGAGATGGTAAAAGGTTCTGAATCCAACATAATACACTGGTACAGTATTCCCTCCTAGCATATGCATTGTCTAGTTACATAACACAACTAGTATTCTTTATAAATAAAATTTTAAAATGTATTACAGTAAAATAATATGTTGCGCGGACTCTCCAAAATGTAGCCGCACCCGTGTTGGGTCCTTCAAAAATGCACTACTTTTGGAGGATCCAACACATATCCGGCCACATTTTCGGAGAGTCCGAGCAACATAGGTAAAATGCTTGTGATATGTAAATGGCTTGGCCCCAACTATATCAGACAAGCTGTAAATGATTAAACAGGCATGCAGCATAAGCAAATACCCTAGGTTTTCATCACAGTGTAGTTCACCAGTAGAGCAGATGTTGAAGTCGTAGAAGTAACTTTAGAAACTAACAGGGGGCATAAACGTAAAACAGATCTGTAATGAAGCCTTTCATGTAAAAATTTGGCAAGGCTCTCAGCTTTCCAAAGGCGAAAAAGAGTGGAGAATCCCCCGTTTTCCATCTGAAAGCAGGGAACCACTTCAAAAAGGAGAACAATGTACTAGCTTCTAAGATGACTATCAAACCCTCAAAAAAGGCAGTATCACAGTTTGCCTCCTATTAAACATCTGAAAAATGATTAACTAACAAAAACAACTACTACATCTAAATGAATCCAGGGATCTAATGACATCAAAGAACTTTTTACAAAACCAACTTTTCTCGTACCCTGTTTGGACTTCAGACACCTAGAGTCCTATACTAACATTTTTCATTTTGCTAAGACGTGATAATCCAGTTGCCACAACAGCCCTGGGTATCTGCACTCCTAGGCGTTCAAGTGCCTAGCACTTATACAACCAGGTAGTCTGAAACTGTTGGACTCATCAGCCATTATACTGTTCTAACATATCTGCATACCCTAACCTTAGAGGAGATAACCATCCTGTTGTCCTGGAGAATTGTGATAGCTGATAAAAATGTAGAGATCACGAGCAACTACTTGCTTTAGGTCATAGAAGTAGAGGATGGCATATAAGGAAAATATAAAATTTGGTGAAACGGGAACATTATTTGAAACTTCAAATGCTATAAAAAGGCAAATTAGTGCATAGAAATCCAAAACTCAGGGTGGTGCGATTGGGTTACACAAGTGAACAGCTATTACAAGATAAGTAGATTATTAATATCAGTATGCTCCTTGCTGTAAAAGCTAAAAAAACATTGATATGGAACTAATGTTATTTGCCAAACTGAATACCTCCAACCATGGATATGACCTTGACAGTTCATACGTCGCAATGCCACCATCAGGATTCTGCATATTACATCCTAGAAAAGGCTTCATCAATAATTCAAAGCAATGTGCAGTTTCAAGATATTACAATAACTATATGTTGGATATGTAACTACCAAGAATCCAGTTGCAAGAAATCATCAAAAGGCTGATCTAATGAGGAAAAAAACCATATTTTCCAATTACATAAAGAAAATGCTTTTACCAGTAATGATAGCATAACATTTACAGCATCGTACAAACGCTTTGCCTCCAATGGTTCACCAACAATCTCCATGGGAAGTTTGGAGAGTTGAAGACATACCTGATAGACATGGCACAAAGGGATTACTACAAATGAAAACGTCTCAACAAATGAAGGTTTTAAAAAAAAATGCCTACTTTAAGCCCCTCCGCTGTACAATCTGAAATAGGCCAACCATGATCTGCAGTAGAGAAAGGCCAAGCTCCTTTTGAAATATGACGATACCAGAAATCAAGATTGCCTGGGCAATCCTCTAACACCTTTACAAAAAATAAGAATTTAGCACACCAGAGATGAAAAACAAGATAAATAAGGACAAAACGCCACATATATATTAAAGAGCAGAGGTATTACCTGCGTGTCTTTCATGTACGTGTGTGCTTTTCTCAAAGTTGGACCATAGTCTTCACCAAGGTTTGTCGAAATGATTGCTTGAATAGCAAAAGAAGTATCCCATGATTGACTTCCATTATATCCCTGCAATTTGGCATCATATCATCTTTAGACTACTAGAAATAAGGAAAATGATGTTAACAATTAATATCATAGCAACTATAGCGGGGAACTTGAGAAACTCTGCCAATTCAATCATCTATAAAGTTAAACTGTCTTACTTTCCAGAGAAAAATAAAATAGAACTAATTACTATAGGACTTATGAATATTATCAAGTAATATTTCTAGACCTGCATTTTCATGCCATCTTCAGCAATCCATAGATAATCATATAATCGTGGAATATGTAATTTGAAAGCTTCCGAATTAGGATCTTCCGCCCAGCAACAAAGCATATTTAAGACCTGCACATGATGGATCAGTTTACCATAAAAAGGGATGAATATATGATGTAGCACCAGAATGGAGAAGGGACACTGGTAGAAAAATAGAGAGAGAAAGATAAATCAATTCATAAAGTGTTATACATGAAGTGAATACCAAACAAAGCACTCCAGATTCCTATTAATAGGAAAATGAGTTCTGAACAAGTTATGACTCTTAAAACTATTATAACTCTATCTTTAACATAAGACTAGACAAAATCTTACTTATAATTAGAAAACAAAATATTGTCTCTAACTAAAGATAAAACCTTATCTAATTAAACGAAGTAGGATGGTCTATACTTTATTCCAACAAAAAGAAAAAGGTAAAATTAAAACTAGAGATGACAATAATGCAATGTCTTATTGAACTACATCATGTTCCCACAGTTGGGAAATAACATGAAAATGATGAGTGCAAAATCAGGTCAAACTCCAAAAGTTCCAGATTTATGGAATAAAATTCACACTTATTGAATTCATGCAGCATGAAGCAATGATCCTTTTATTGAATAGAGTTTTGCTTCAAACCACCAATTAAAGTAAACAAAATTTCCACTTGTAATGGCGTCTTGCAAAACCTAATAACCATCTCCAAAATTCAAGAAAGATTTGAAAAGAAGGTCCATTGAATGTTGAGGTATGGGTTACATTGCAGAGGATAGGATGATGGGTGTTTTATTATGTACATGGTGCAAATGAGTGCAACAGCCTGTGATGAATCAAAACCTAAACTCTAATACCAAGTTGATGCAAGACTAGAAGGATCGAGGGAGAAGGGAGAGAACATAGAGAGAAATAGGACAAGGAAAAAGAAAAATAAGATTGAAAAATCAATTAATAATGTATTACTCAGCTCATCAAACTCATCTCCTCCTACAAAGTACATCAAAATCCTATTTATACACTGATGAATTCTGAACAAGTTAGAACTCTTAAAACTACTCGAACTTTAGTAAGATAAGATGATAAAACCTTATCTTTGATTAAAGATAAGATAATATCTAACAACTTCCTTTATCCCATCTTATGTGACAATCTTTCCTTATTAATATATTCTAAAAAGAATGACACGTGTCTATATCTAGAAACAATTTAACGTATATTTCCTTTTTACCCTTCATGGGATGCTTTTATAGCCACATAATTTCAGGCCTATGTCATGGCATGTTTCCACAAGTTTCAAAAGTATATTTGTTTCTTTCTCCGTCTAGTCAAACACCACCATATAAATTGAGACAGAGGAAGTAATACATAAAATCTAATCTCTACTTTATTTCTAACTAAAAGATAAAGGTAAAATTAGACTAGAATTTAAGATAGTAAAATTCAATGTTATATGGAGCTACATCAATATATTTGACAAACTGAAGGTTAGTTTGTAGCTCATCGAGGAACAATTGACTAAGTTGCACAGACTCAAGGGCGGGTGTCTGATACGGGTGTGGATCTAGAGGTAGAATCCTTCATGATCTAAGTTTTAAGATTCGGGAATACATATTCAGGTACCTAGATATGGATGCGAAGATTCTCCTAAAAATATTTAAAATATCTAAAAATGGAGTTATAAAAATTGTCTCAATTATGAGACACTATGAGAAAAAGTTATAAGGTATTCTGAGGCGTACAAAATATTGATCAAAAGGAGAATCTGAGAAAGAGAAAAAAGGAAAATGACTAACTTAGAGGTTTCTACATACATGGTATTCCAATTTTTCTTCAATTTCACCTTAGCTTTTGTTTTTATTTCAGATACAATGGTATCTATCTCGAATTTCTACGTCGATTTTATCAAAGTACCCAAAATCGGTTGACCTCCAGACTCCACTTGTGGGCTTATACTATGTTTGTTATTGTTGATGTATTCTACCCAAAATCGGTTGACCAGTTCCGATACCGATCTCACACCCACACCCACGTCGTGTCCGACACGGGTACGGCACTGAAAGTGAAGAGTCCGAGCAACTTAGACAATTGAAGAAACTTCCCAAACATAAGTATGAAAGAAGTAGCAAAAAGATTAGTCTAAGATTTAAAGGTGAAAACAATTAACAACAAATGCTCTGGACCAGGAAGAAACATCGACAAATTCCCACAATTCTTCCACAGGTCGTGTATCATACGAGACAGGGTTTGATTTTGATTACTTTAACGTATCCACAAAAGAAGTTTAGCATTAGTACCTTGTTCACGGGCCCTATGCATATGTAGCGAGTATTTTCATCTTCATAATGTATGTGGTCCATTACAGTGCGGAGCGCTTTCTCTCAATTTTTTCCCAGGCCAATGCATAAAAATCGGCTCCACAAGCTTGTCAAGAGAGGCCCAGAGGATGTCCTGAACTAGAGGATGAGGGTAGTAGAGGTCTTCCTGCTCATTAAAACAAAATGAAAGCTATAAGGAAAAGAACAGTAAAAAAGTCGCAATCCACATAGTCTTACATCGGCTGCTTATTATACAGGATTTCTTTTGATGCAGACAGAATTAACATCAGGAGCTTTGGATAATAGTAGCTCATGAAGTAGCTTATTGGGTTGAGTTAGGATCAAGATCCATTTCTTCACAGATAGAATAAGTGAGATAGTAATTGATATAGCAGGACACTTCTAGCTCTTCTCATGATTGTCCCTAGACTAGACACAGCAAATATGCGCCTTTCAATTGCATTAATTACTATTCATACTAACCTTTGCACATTCATTGCGTGCTTTATTCCAGTTTATTTCGTGATAAGGGACTGTGAAGAGCTCATTTCTCACAGATGAAACTGTTGGTGTGATTGGTCCAACAAATCTTTTACCATATAAGTATGACATTGGCAGATAAACCATCCGGCAGTGGCACCACATCCTTCCTGGAAGATTTAACAAAATAAGTGTTTTCTTTAGAGAAGACAAGACGCAGCTGTTTCTGAAAATGAATCAGCTGGTTTGAATGCTTAGCATTTTCGGGAAACAAGAGAATAGACCGCCAATAAACAGCCTAATGGGAACATAAGCTACTTACTGAAACTTTAAGACCCATAGAAATTACATTTGGTATGAAGAAAGGTTATTTACTTGAATTGTGGCTTGCCAACCTAATCAGTTGATACGAACTTGTTACTTATTTTAAAGAAAAATGTAGAAATAAAATCAGACCTGCTTTTTCATCTGTCGCCAGACACGAATTATTACGCTGAACTTGAGATCTTCTTATAAGTACACTGGATTTGAAATTTACAAATTGAAAATAATGAACAAAAGAAACTGCAGACTGACCTGGATGAAATGGAAGGATATAGGGAAGAAGCCATATTTCTGGAGGAAGTGGATTGTTCCCAGACCACTCAAATATGCCAAGCACCTAATGAATCAGTGGGGCAAGAAAATGTAAAATTATCAAGAATACATCACCTGACACACATCTAACAAAGCACGCGCGAAGTAAATAAATAAGTAAAAGTTAAAGTTACTAAACTGAGAGCCACATTTTCCCCCACGAGGTTATTGCAGTGGCACTACCATGGTCCAAAATCCATTTGCGTCCCTTCTCCATTGCCCCTTCTCCGCCATTAGTTCCTTCACCGAGCAACCTCAGAGTAACATAACTCAAAACAGAACCAAACATGGTACTGGGGCTTTCAACATGCAAACCCCACCCACCATCACTGTTCTGCCATTTAACGATGTTAAGAAAAGTTTAGAATAAACAGAAAAGGAAGTCCATCAGGAAAACTTCAGAAAATTGACAACAGAGCAATACAAATAATAAGAAATAAGTTCAAAATGTTGTACATGCCTGATGATTGTAAAGATAACGACATATCTCTCGTTTATGCTCTTCGGATAACACTGCACTCAGTGCCCCAGTAACAGATAATGCAATAACCTATACCATTAGATTAACAACATAAAAAACAAAGAAAGCGAAGTGCTTATATTTGGTCTGTATAATGAGATCGATCGTCATTGATTACAACATAGACTAGCAGAGGAAATGTACATTACGACATAGCAAAAGTTTACAGCCTAATTTCAAGCCATGAAATAAATAGGAATGTGATTTTATAACCAATCAATGCAAGAAAAGCAATTACCAGGCCAGGCATTAGAAACATTGGCCCTCCATAATCTCCTGCCCAGTGACCATCATGAGCTTGTAGAGTAGAATAAAAACTGAGAGCCCTTTTCAATGTGGTGGCTACATTATCTTCGGTTACATCTCCAATGTCTATAACTTGGACTTGGGGCAAAATTGTACCCGAGGGGTTCTCCTTTGAAAACTGAAATTCAGAAGAGAAAACAAAGAAGAATGTGATAACGACTACTTCGTATGGGAGATACTCACAAGAATCAAATGCTGCTATCTTTTTCACCTAGAACAGCTGTTAAAAGAAATAATGAGTGTCATGCTGCCAAGTCACCTAGCAAATTGTAGACTAGGTTCTAAAACACCCCAACACATATTCCATTCTTGTCCATGTGAAAGTTACACACAGGATACAAGATAATTATGAGCTGATAGAAGCATACAATCAGTACTTCTAAGTAATTCTGGAAGAAATCAAACTAATACTGCCAGCGCATATAGCTATAGTATTATTTTGGCGAAGTGTCCACAGAAACATATACAATCTGATATCACAAACGTCTGTCATATTTATCCCAATATACAACAACAACAACAACTACTATGCCTCAGTCAGAACCAAGTTGTAGTCGGCTATATGAATCCTCACCAACCATGTTACTCCATATAAACTCATCCGAGGCCAAAATTATCCAAAATAATAATAATAATAATAATAAATAAATAAATAAAATAAAAAAAGCACTAGCAGTTCATTATATTTTTCAACTGACATATAAATATCTGATAGACTAAACAACTCTTGGAAAAGCATAGGATGTAAAGTAAAAGCGCTAACAGAGAATTTCACATCCTCTCCGATATATATGTAACACAAAAAAATCTTAGAATCTTCAATAAAGAGGAGGAATATTCATACAAAGTAGCAGAGAACTATAGAGCACAAAGTACAAATCTACATAAGAATTAAGCTTTGAAGCTGACACAAGTACATAGCAAATCACCATACATCTTTCCAGTTTCCACAGAGAGAAACAACAACAATAAGAGTAACAATAACAAACAACAACAACAACATCAAGGATCAAGAAATGTGGTAGATATTTGCGAGAAGGTAAATTTCAGTGATCATCACTCCACCTGATAACGCATAAGAAGATCAGAACTGTGTTTTGTCTCAAAACGATTGTTGCGAAACTCTTCGCGAAACTTCTCGATCTCAGCTAGGTCTTCCTCAGACCCGATGTTCGAATCAAACTCCCAGACCTGCCGTCCTACGTGATTGTTCAACGACCGAAGCCATGGATTATCTCCTTCACCAACCTTCAACTTCCACATTCTTCTACAAAAGAAAAAAAATACTACAAAATTGAATTAAACCAAACAAGAAAACTAACTAAAACTGGGAGCAGTATAATAGAGGAAAAAGGAGAAACTTACAGACGCGAGAATTCACGGGAGAAAGAGATCAACGGTGCGGGTGGAGGAGTTCGCCGGCGAGGGGAGTACGGTGGTATCAATTTGGCGAAGCGCGAGAATGCATTTGATAGTACAGAGTAATGGTGTGACGTTGAAGTGTAACTAACTATATTGAGGTAGGGTATAGTTTTTTGAGTTATGATGTGGTCCCCATGCAACTGAACACGCTTGTCATTTATTCATGGAATTTATCTATATTCTATATTTATTCTATATTTATTAGAAGAAAAAAATCTAGCCTAGGATTATGAGAAGTGGCAGCGCATAACAAAGACATATTTTAGGACAAAATTAGTTAGAATAGCTAATAATAAGTTATTTAATTATTTTAAAATTCATATTGAAATTCAAAATTTTAAATATCTATCTATATTCTTTTTAAGGAAATAATAATTTTTATATATTAGGATACGTTAACATATAAAATAAAATTTACTTAAGATATTAAATATTTGATGACTTTAAAATTACAAAATCTTCTATATTTATATATTTATCTATATTCTATATATTCTATTCTATATTCTATATCTATCTATATATTATTAAAACAAAGAGAGTCTAGCCTATGATTATGACAAGTGGCAACGTAGGAGAAAGACATGTGGTAGTTTTAGAAAAAAATTAGCTAGGTTAGTTAATAATGAGTTATTTAATTATTTTTAAATTCAAATTCAAATTTTTAAATATCTAAATTCTTTTTAAGAAAATAATAATTTTTATATATTTGATGACTTTAAAAATTTTAAAAACTTCAAGCAGCAAAATAAGATCTTAAATAAAATATCTATATTAGATAAGTAATGTGAGAGTATTTTAATAATACTCAAAATATTATTGACAAATTTAAATATTAGCTGAATATTTTTTAGCAACAAAATTAACTTGAGTAAATAAAATTTTGGGAGTAGGAATATTAAGCAAGGATATTTCATCAAATTATAAACTAATAAAACGTCACATGAAAATATAAAAATATTAAATAATAAATAATGTTGTAGGCATATAAATTTTACTTAAATTAAATCCATAAAATAATTTGGACTATATTTTAAATTCAAGATATATTGGTCTAAATAAATATTATGGGCTAATATATAAATAAATTAATTATATAGGTCCAATATAAATGGATTAAATAAATAAGTCTTAATCTATTGGGCTAAAGTGATGAGCTTACTTCATTAAGCCCAAGATGTCATCTTCCTAAAGGCCCAGTTTGGTGCCACGTGTCACATGATGTGGCGCGCCAAGTCAAGCGGAAGAGCCAATAGGACCATGTCACGTGTCAAAATGACAAGGCATGCCAAGTCATATTAAAAGGCTAATGAAATCGCGCCACGTGTGCAAGTGACATGTTCTGGCCAATCAAATGCGGCCATGTTACACTTCAATTTGATTGGTCGGAAAGAGTTTGTTCTTATCACAACTCTTCCCTTTCACAACTATAAATAGGGGTCTTCATAACTCAGAAAGGACAACAAAAGTTATAACAAGAAGCAAGAGAGAGCTCGTGGATCAAACACCGCAAATTTCTCTACAAGTTTCAAGCTTCAAGCAATCAAGTTCAAGTTCAAGAAATCAAGTTCAAACTCAAGAATGAAGAACAAATCAAGTTCAAGTTCAAGTTCAAGCAATCAAGCTCAAGCTCAAGAACGAAGAATAAATCAAGGTTCAAGGAGTACGAGTTCAAATCAAAGTTCATGCTAGTTGAATTCAAGATCATCATTAGTGACAACAAATATAGATTCAAGATCAAGCTCAAAGGCCCTTGAATTTATTTACTATTGGAAAGAAGAATCAGAGGATTCATAGAGATTGTACACTCAAATATTTAAAATAAAATACTACGATTGTTGCGATATTTTCGGTCTTGATTTTATTTTCTCGACGCAATTTATTGTCTACAAATGCAATAATGACAAGTAATAATAAATAAAAAAGATAAAATAAAAAATATAGAAGGATGAGACTTATTTAAATTTGAGATGATAAAGTGTCTTTCCAATTATGATGAAAAAGGCCATATAATAGATAATACCACATAATTGAATTCTTAATAAAATTAAAACAAAAAAATATTGAACAATGAAAGAATTTCAAGTAACGAGTAAATAAGCTTACTCACAACAATAAACTAAAAGAAATTATTATAAAAATAGAGAGATAAGATTTATTTGAATTTGAGATGAGAAAGTATCATTTGAATTATGATGAAAAAATTCATAAAATGGATTATATCGTTGAAATAGTAAGGATCCTGAGGGAGCAACAAAGGATCATTATGGGTCATCTCTCACGGCAAGATCAGGTTATGACGAAATTAAGGCATGCATTTTCGAGTGTTTCTAACAACGCGAATGGACGAGGTCTAGTTCCACCTGGTGCTCCCTCAAATCAAACAACGCAGAGGGTCGATAACAACACCCTGAGGGGTAAAGTCGGCTTTGATTGGGCTGGGAGGAACGGTAGCGGATCCGATAACAACAATGAGAACGATCCCTTTAAAACGGAACTCATGCGGTTCATAAAAGGAAATAAAAGTCCGAATGGATCAAATTCCTAGCGCACCACCAGTATTGAAAGGACCGGATTAAAAAAAGTACACCCAACTGCCATTCAAACCAAGCACGGCACCCGAGTTAATCCCGAAGCGGTTCAAAATGCCAGACGTGTCAAAATATAATGGGACTTCAGATCCTCAGGAGCATATCACTACCTATACAATAACAGTGAATGGAAACGATTTGGCTCCCCACGAGATTGAGTTAGTCTTACTAAAGAAATTTGAAGAGATATTCACGAAGGGGGCCCTGACATGGTATTCACTCTTGACTAAACATTCCATAGATTCCTTCAAAATGCTCGCGAATTCTTTCATTAAGGCCCATGTGGGGGCCAGAAAGGTACAGGGTCGAAAGGCCGACATATTCAGGATTGCACAAGAGGGTCTGAATTGTTGCGGGAGTTCATGACCTGATTACAGAAATAAAGATGTTGCTCGCGGTCGTGCCAAATGAATGGCTAGCAGAAGCATTTACTAAAGGGTTAAATTCGAGAAGTTCCGATGCTTCCCGGAAATTGAAAGAAAGTCTGCTCGAGTTCCAGGCAACAACATGGGCGGATGTCCACAACCGATACGAGTCAAAGATAAGAATTGAAGAAGACCAGTTCGGCTTTCCGGCGTCAACCAAAGGTCGGGACCGGGAAAAGAATAAAGAGAAATTAAAGGATGATTTAGACATAGATCAGCGCCCTTCCAGGGGACAATTTTGCTTTATGAGCGGGCCGAAGGACACGACAGAAGTTTCTGTCCAACGGATAGATTCGCTACCGACAGGAGAACTGATCATGGCGAGAATAATAGGTCATTACTGGATAAGGAGACATCGGGTTCTCAGGATTTTTCCTATCCCAGACTTTCCGAATACAACTTTAACGTCAGCGTAGTGGAGCTGGTGTCGGTTATGAGGAGCATTAAAGAAGCACAGTTCCTGAAGCCAATAAGGTCTGATCCTAGCCAAAGAGATCCTAATTTTTGGTGTGAATACCATGAACCAATGGTCATCGGATAGGGGACTCTCAACATCTGCGCGAGGAGGTGGAGACATTGCTGAAAAACGGCCATCTAAGAGAATTTTTAAGAGATCAGGCTAAAAACAACTATGGCCGCAATCATGATAATGCAGAATCTTCGAAAGCTGGAGACGATCCCTCACGTTTGACAATCAACATGATTTCCATAGGGAACAAGATTAATGGTATAACATTTTCGGCAGCAAAAAAGACGAAGGTGTCGGTGACCCACAGTAAGAGACTCCAGGAAGTCACTGAGGACGACATTACTTTCATGGAGGAAGACACAGATAGACTACTGCTGTCGCACAACGATGCATTGGTAATCTCTTTAAATGTCTTAGATTTTAAGATTAAACGTGTTTTGGTGGACCCAGGAAGTTCGGCCAATATCATCCAATGGAGAGTGTTTGAGCAAGCCAAGCTCACCGGAAGTATCATTCCGGCCATAAAACTCCTCGTCGGGTTCAACCTAGCAAGTGTGACAACCCAATGAGAGATCTTGCTTCCTACGAATGATGAGGGGGTGATGAAGATAACCCTTTTTTGAGGCGGTGGACATTGATATAGGCTATAATATTATCCTAGGGAAGCCGTGGTTGCACTAGATGAAGGTTGTACCATCAACATATCATCATTTGCTAAAATTCCCAACTCTCGAGTGAATTAAACAAATAAGAGGCGACCAACCAGCAGCAAGGGAGATGAATGCAATCTCAGTTTCCAGTAGCACAGGGAAGGAGCATGTGGCATAGTAGTTACAGGAACCGAGCGCATGCTCCCGAGCCGAGCAAAGTCAACCAGGGGGAGGAGTCATCGGAATCCTATTAGATACCGAGATATTTCCAGGTACAGAAGAGATAGACGCAACAAAATCCATAATAGAAGAACTTGAACAAATCGCATTGTTCGAAAAGTTCTCGGAGACGAACTTCCACTTAGGGATAGGACTACACCCTGAGCTCAGGTCTGGATTTATCGAATTTATTAAATTCAATGTCGATTGTTTTGTGTGGTCGCATGTGGGTATGACAATTATCCCGCCGGAAGTGGCCATGCATAGACTAAGCCTGGATCCCAACATCCCACCGGTAAGACAGAAAAAATCCTATTGCCGAGGTCAAGAACAAATTTATCAAAGAAGAGGTAACTCGCTTACTTGATATTGGTTCAATCAGAGAGGTAAAGTATTATGACTGGCTAGCTAACTTAGTAATAGTTCCAAAGAACAATAATAAATTTTGCATGTTAGCAAACTATAAGAATTTAAATAAGGCGTGCCTAAAAGACTCATTCCCATTGCCAAACATTAATCAAATGATTGATTTGACGGCCGGGAACAAGTTAACGAGCTTCCTCGATGCTTACTTTGAGTACAACCAAATCAAAATGAACTAGGAGGATCAGGAGAAAACTCTGTCCATAACAAATTTCTGCACATATTGTTATATTGTGATGCTTTTCGGGGCTAAAAACGCTAGAGCCACTTACTAACGGTTTGTAA